TGGTTGTCGGTTGAGTGGAACCCATTCAGACCCGCACTGATGATGTCACCTCGATGAAACGCTTGCAATCCAACTGCCAAGCTCGGCGAACAGACCAACAACCAATCAGCGCACCCGAGCTACCTACATTCCACAACATTGCCAGTGTATATCCTCGTCTAGTCTTAGGGATTCGGTCAGCCACCATCATCAAAAATCCTGCATACTATTTACACATATACAAGCAAAACTATACGGAAAAACCTTAAATGTTCACGTTTGTGGTATCAACAATTGCGTGGGTCTGTCATCGATCAGCACAACGCGGTGTCAAGGTCCAAGACACCAGACATCGGCGTTCAATCGGGTGGAGTTTGTTTTCCGCTTCTGTGATCAGTCTCACGATTCGGATTGGAGGTTTGATAGCACAGACCGGCCAGCAGGCCCAGCAAACAGGGCAGAAAAGCGGTTGGATAATTAGGCGCGGTCACATACACGTAAACTAGAATACCAGTGATGGAATGGGCAATCTTTATGGCGCGGTATGCAGGCCATGATGGAGCTAACCAGGTGGGGATCAGCAGACACGTAGACGCAGTGTAGCGCAGGCGAATGGACGTAATACGCTGTAAGGCAACGGATTCACCGGCTAAACTCAGACACAGCAGCACGTGTAGTTACAGCAAGTACGACGCACGGATCGGAAAGTAGAACGACTGCGTTGCAAACGCACACATATTTGTAGTATACGGTGTCTGCCATTTTGATTGATTGATATGTAAGTATTGGTGATGTACAACCTTGCTTACTGGGCTTTGGCTCATGAGCTTTGTTCCTGATCTCTATCCACAGAAATTGTCGTGAACACACCACATGGAGTTTCTTAGTGGTCACCTTCGCTAGTGGGTCCAAAAACATTTACTGCTCCAGATAAACCCTGCGACAAGATCCTCCCTATGTGCGACCGTTCCATTGTCAGAGTGGTAAAGCACTCGCTTGTGTGACTTCTTCCGGTCATTCTTTATTTGTAAGGTATAAACTGCAGAACTAAATCTCTCACATTTTCAACCCAGGAGGAATTTACACTTGGTGATGCTATGACAAATGAATACTGATGGCCGGAGAGGACATTTTGTGCCGGGTGGCTCATTTTCAAACACCCTTGTCGATCGCACTCTCTCTCATACTTGTATTGATCATATAAATCGATACTGAAAACCCCAAAGTGAAGCTTGCTGACATCAACAAATGTGGTCACTTGCAGCACAGTAAACGCAAAGCTGGACTAGAGGCAAAAAAACGTCAAGATTAGCCCGAAATGCTACATGAGATGCGGTGGCAACAAATATTTTGGAGAGTTTTGTGGAGCATTCATGGAAACAGAATTAACGGGACGTTCTTCAACGAATTAGGAATGATCGGAATGGAATTGAACACGCAAGTTGTGACTAGTGCCCGCCTAACTGTTGTGCAATTTGGTTTCAAGTAGAGCGTAAGGTTGACGTAAACTCCGGAACTGCGACATTTGATGGGCTCCAAGAAGGGTGAAACCGGTCGTCGGCTGTCAAATACTTCTCAGCAACCATATAAGTATGTATTACGTCCACCAAAACTACCCTCGTTCTCAAAATATTGCTTCAAGTTGAAGCCCAATGTCATCACCATACTAAATGTTGGCAGTATACCATCAAAAGAAGATCTCCTCTTCAATCACGAAGCTTGAGAAGAAGAGGTAGGTCTCGCTCTGTTTGGACATAATACCCTGCTTTTGAGATTGTTGATATCCGTTTGGTAGCTCACGACGAGACTCACGAAAAAAGAAGTAGTGAAAATCACGCGCAGTATGGGGAAGTTGAATGAGAGCTCAACTAACCGATGAAATTTCGTACTCTTCAGTTGGCGTACATGCCTACAGTGGACACCGCTGTGAGGCCAAGAGCTTGTCTGGAGCCACAAGCCGAATCCTCGTTTCGGCGGAAAGTATGCGTCAGGAGATAGTTGAATGACAACTAACCGATGAAATTTCGTACTCTTCAGTTTGCGTACATGCCTACAGTGGACACCGCTGTGAGGCCAAGAGCTTGTCTTGTCTCACAAGCCGAATCCTCGTTTCGGCGGAAAGTATGCGTCAGGAGATTTTCTCTACAGACCTCCGAGAGCGAAAATATCCAGTATAGCCTTGGAATTTCAGCGGGAGTAATTCTAGTCCCCATATCTGTTTTGCAAATTAAACATCATTTCATCGTTTTCGAAAAAGTTTGGTGACAGTCGGTAGATTTATTGCTGGGCAACGTTTCGCTTCTGACACAAAAGCTTCGTCAGGCCAAGTGACTAGGTTCCGAGGTTGATCGAGATTTAAGGCGGAAGGAGAACCAATCAGCTAAGTCAAGCTAAATCTCTGTTGGGTGTCGGCCGAGCGATTTTAGTGGGTTAGAGTGGTTGAACAAGTGTTGGGTCGGT